AGCAGCACGGCCGCCACTGACCTCGAAAACCAACAACGCCGCGGGAAGGGGGGAGGCCCAGGGAGCAGCCTGCTCCTGTTCCCTCCTACGTCCTGGCGGCAGCTGGGCTGTGCCGGAAGAAGCAGGCTGGAGCCGGAGGCACCGAAACAGGGTCAGCCAAGCAGAGAAAAAGATAACCCCAGGCTGGTGGCCTGCCGGGGGCCATATGCAGGAGACACCCTCTGGGCTGGCTTGCATGGCAGCAGCAACCTTGAGCCACACAACCCGCTTGGGCGGTCATACCTCTGCATGCGTGTAGGCAGCCTCGGCGTCCCGCTGCAGCGAGCTCTCAATGTCGGCAAGGCTGTTGGTGATGAGGCTGGAGCAGTTCTCCCTGTCCCTGCGGTGGGGATCCTGCAGACCCTCCTCCACGCGGGCTCCTACCCGGTGGCCTTCCTGTGTGAGGTTCCTGGACATGCCCTAGAGAAGCGAGAGTGGAGACTTTATCCCACGTAAAGACAAGGGATGCTCCACAGCCCCCAGACCACAGTCTAGGAGCCAGTGAGCTCTGTGCTCCCATCCTGGGCTCAGAGCAGGGCTTCTCCATGGAGCTGGGCACTTCAGCTGCTAAGAAAGTGCCCCTGACCCTAGTGGGATCTAGAAATGCCATTCCTGGTGTGCTCTGCATCCCTGCAGTGCCCAGATCTGCTCTTTGCCACAGGGCCCCATGGAGCGGGTGAGGGTCCCTGAGGTTCTTCAACACCCGTCTTCAGCCAGGCTCAGCAGCTCATCGAAGGAAGAGGGAAAGACAAGCTAAAACATCTCAAGTGCCAGCCTCGTGTCCTTTGCCTATGGCAGCAAGTTCATCTCGCATTTATGAATTCCACTTTCCTAGCAGAGTCCCATCCTGGCTGGCCACTGCCTGCCCCACCCCCCAAGGCAAGTCCTTGAGGTCGACATCCCACTTGTCTGGTTTCTGTCCTCCCGGTCCTGACCCGCTGCCTGGCCACGCAGTGCCTGTGCTCAGGGACTGCTCCTCCCTGCCACCATCTGCTCCCCCAGAACAGAGGGAGAACTTGGGGAGAGAAAGAGAGCCAGTGACCCTCGGAGAGGTGTCCTGGGACTGGGAGGGAGCTGGGGCTGACTGCAGCTCGTCAGGCAGCCCAGGGCAGGCTTGCCCTTCTCAGCCCCCAAACCATAGGCACACCTTGGATACAAGGGGTTGCTGCAGCCTCTGCTCATCACCCTTTGGTCTTTTACATCTTAAATGGCAACTGCTTTGCATAGGTGGCACATCAGTCAAAACATTTTTGCACGGAGACTGGGGGCGGTTCCCCCTGATCCTTCATTTTCAATCAGTCTTGCCATTAATTTCTCCTAAAACCCACTGTGACCTCCATCTGCAACCTCAAAATCACCAGCTGATGCAAGAGCTGCAAGCTAAAGACAAAGCAGAGAAGCTGCCTCACTAGAGAAGGTGCTAGCTCTGCAGACCAAGTACCTGGGGGTTCCTTCCCTTTACTGACACCGTTTGTGTAAAATACCTTGTTACACTGGAAACAACTCACCATGCCCTCTCATCTCTGCAAAAATACCATCCTGAGATCAGTTAACCCCCAACCCCCTCCATGGACATCTGATTTCCCAGTGTTTACCATGGAATTGAGAGTCACAGATTTATCATGCAATTTTGAGGCTGAGTCCAATAATGCAGGGACTTTTCAGCAAGCATTTTGGTGTAGTAAGAAAAGGAACAGGGGATCTCAGGATGCTCTGCTAGGAGCAGTGCAGGAGCAGGAGCAGCTTCGATACCGTCCTCCTTTGGGGAGGATGTCTGATTCTGACAGTCTCTTGTGCCCTTATCACTTACTCTGAATAATGTTTGGTTTGTGACCTGCTTAGGGGTAAAATCTGCCACCCCCCCTTTGGTGGGGAGGCACCACCAAAGCCTGGCCTGTGCTGTGCTTGAAGCTGCTCAGCTGCTTTGCCGGGGAGCAGCTGCCAAAAGCACACTCGCCTGGGAGGCCGATGCTTTGAAGCTATGCCAGGCTCTTGTTCAGCATCTCAGCTGTCCGTTGTATCAGATCCCATGGCCGATGCAGGGTGTGATCCTCCTCCTCCTCTCACCAGGAATTTACGTGCTAAGCCAGCAGCAGGAAGCGTTTCACACCTGCTGCCTGTGCTGCCTGCACCAGCTCTGCCCTGCCTCAGTGGCACTGGGGAATCTCCATCTAACCCAGGCCTCTCCTGTCCTTCTCCATCCCCTCAGAGTGCCTGTAGGCAGCTTCACCTGCTTGTTACATGATCCTCCAGTCCCGCTTCTGGGAAATTCAAGACCCAAATCTGTGAATTCCCCCCTCCTACAACTTCATTGCTCCATCTCTGGCCAAGCTACTTCAGCCAGACTGAGCTTTCTGCCTGTCTGCCTCCCTGTGATGGGCTGTGAGCAGAGCAGCCGCACTGCAAGGTCACCCCGATGTGCCCAGGCAGACAAATGCCACCAGCACCGCTTGCACTGAACCCCCTGAGCAGCGCAGGAACCAGCTGGTAGACAGGGCCACTTTGGTACCAAAGAAGAGCGCAGCGATACCCCCACGGGAAGGGATTCCTTGTGTCACTTGTCAACACCCAAACTCCTAACACTTACCTTACCTTAGCCTCTGACTCAACCATCAGCAAGGTCTTTGAGGAACCTGCACTCCCCACTCACTGGCCTGACGTGCTGCGTCACTCTGGTCTGACCCATTTCAAAGATGACCACATGTAAAAGCACCATTTTTTGGTCAGCTAGTTTCAGGGTGAGACAAAGTCATGGACCACGGATCCATAACTGATACCAAAAAGGCCTGGCCCCTCCATCATCTCTAGCCAGCTAACTGTGGATAATAAACAGCAACAGACCATCAATCTGTCCTGATGGGGCCCTTTGCGTTTGCCACAGCACCCCCCGCTCTAGGCGAGCCCAGCTCACCATGGCCATGCCGTGGGACAGGGTTCACTCTACCACCAGACCTGTGGCTAAGAGTGCTGCAGCCGTGAAGCTCCCCAACAGGGACACGCAGCATGGCTCCCACTTCCCTCGCTCCTCTCCCCTAATTAGCCAAGACTTGGCAGGAAACTCAAGTAACAACTGGAGAATACGCTAAACCACAGGAGGAGGGTGAGATTGCAAACAAAAACATCAGTTCTTTGTTATTTTTAGATCTCAAAACTCCTTTTCCCGCTTTTGGGTTTCCACCATGCTTGGAAACCCAGAGCCTCCCAGGCAAGCATGATCCTCCCGGCTGTCTCCTTCCTGACCCCAGGACGGAGCACGCCGTACCTTCCCACAATACTTTGCAAGTGGAATTTTGGATTTCTAAATCATCGCCTCTCGTCTCCTGGCTGCAGACAAACGGGACTGCTCCGCTCCAACAAGAATGTGGAATTACTGTCCCAGATATGGACCACGGGAGAAAACTCCACTATTTAATCTGGCAGCCTGTTGCTACATAGCTGAGTGCAGCTCAACAAACTGCAAACCCTATGCTGTACTAGCCAAAGAAATATTAAACTGTATGGAAGCAAAAATTATTTCACTGGAAGTCTGCTCTAAAAAAAAAAAAAAAAAAAAAAAAAAAAAAAGGAAGGTACTTTATCTAGCTTTTTAACAGTGCTGAGGGTTCAGCTCTTTTGAAACACAGGCCAAGATGTAACTTGGTCCTTAAGGAATTTGACCTCCTTGGCTACCAGCTGTCCCAGGTGAGCGTGTCCTGGCACCAGCCTTGAACCACTCACCCCCACATCAAACAGCACAAAAGCACCTGGTTGAGAGCAACTATCATGCCAGCACAGACATAAAATTGAGAAAAGGAAAAACTTAACAGCAGGTCCTTTGGACCCCAAGGAGATGCTGGTCCTGGTGAGGCCACAGCTGGGATCATCCTGCACCCAGTTTAGGCCACAAGGGATGAAGGGAACTGGAGAGAGTCAGGGGAGGCTGACGGGGTGGTGATGCAGTGGACACTGCCTGTGAGGAATGGTGGAGATGTAGTTTGGACAGTCTAGTCTGTCTTGTTTCGTTTCAGCCAAACAGTTAGTTAACATTTCTTCCAAAAGGAACAAGGCTCTGAACGCACTAAATGTATGAAGTATTTGATTTTAGCAAGTCCTACTGAAGGCAACAACCTCAAAGGAGAGCAGGACTCATCTTACCTCCTCAAGCTTTTCCACTCGACCCACCAGCTTGGTTGTGACTGAGTGCAGCTTAAGAAGGTCTAAGCCATAAAAGGCACTTTCCAGCATCTCGACGATGGAAGACAGCTGTAAGGCAAAGGGAGCACACCATCAGTTAGAGGCACTTGCTATGAAGTACACTGCATGGTTTCTACAGCCGAAGGGCAATGCACACGTGTGAGTGCAAGAGGTTTATTAAAAAGCAAGTTTTTCCTCACGCAGCCCTGTTGCCTTGCTGCCACGGTCAGAGCACGGCATGCAGAGTAATGCATGCCACCTCTGCAGAGCTTCAGGGCTTCTGGAGCATGTTTTGGGTGCTGGGGATTAGTCAGCAGAGCAAGGAGAAGCACTGCCCTCCTTGCCAGCTCTAGGCAGGCTCTCTCACAAGCCCAAACGCTTAGCTACTCCACCAATGACGTGACTGGCAGTAAAAGAGGCAACAAGAGAACAGCAGCTCAAATAAAAGTGAGTTTGAGATCAGACTCTGAGTTCGTGCCATTCTGTGCTTTTTTTCCTGGAACAAGAAGAAACTTGTTAAAAAAAAAAAATTTAAAATGTTCACAAATGCAAGATTGAAGCAACTGAAATTCAGCGCCAACCCGGTAACAGTGTTCTTCCCTGGAGAACAGCTTTATCAGAGGGATGCTGCCTTCTCCTTCAACCACCGATTTCAGAGATGCTCTGTATTTAACTGACCCCCTTCCCACAGCAGGAAGAGCTGCATCCCCGCATCCTGCCCAGTGCCAGCCCCCGCTCACCCCCGATCCTGCAGATCCAGACGGCAGTACCCTCGTTCTGCATTTTGTACAGCTCCTGGTGCTCACTCTGCAGAACACAGTGCTGAGCAAGGCACGGGCTGGTGAGAAGTGCTCCCGGGCCATTCCCTGCCTCGGCTCCCTCCAGACCCCCCTGTCCCCACGGCAGCGTGGTGCTGCAGACCTTACAGTCTCACTGGCTGAGAAGTATTTTCAATGCATGGGAATTACTACAAGGTGGTGACATTTTCTCCCAGCAGCTACAAACTGGTCGACAGAGCTCCATAAACATGGGAGAAGTACAGGCAGCACTGCTGGCAGCACTCTGAGTTTCCACCCCAGCCTCTGCAGTCTCCCTGTGGAGCTGACAGCAAAGGAAAAATTTTTTTGGGCCAGATAAAACGGCAGCATTAAGAGACAAGGACTGTTTTATGGCTATGCATCCACTTTCCACTGAGAACTGGACGGAGACGACCGATACAATGCACACAACCTGCCAGACAGCCACTGGAGACATGCGCTTTCCCTCCAGGCTGGATAATTTCCATCAACGCACAAAGGTTGCAGGCTTTATTAACCACCTTCCAAATCTTCCTAAACACAGACTCCTTGCACAGATTTTACACCTGAGACCCCCCAAAACACATGCTGTGCCTACAAGCAGAGGAGCAGCATGGTGTGATTTCACAAAAATAGAGCTTAGATTTAGCTAGCCCCCGCCAACAACAAGCTGACCCTCCCCGAAACACCACACTGATGCACACCCCAACTCGCTGTTTGCTTCCTTTCACCCACTGCAGACTTCGGCTTTCACGGGTCTGATGGCCCATGCATTCCCATGGGACCTTATTAAAGGCATGGATGTGACCCGAAACCTTCAGCCTGGATGCCCAGTGCAGCCATTCGGCACAACATTGGGGTGCCCCAGAGGTACCCCTGCACCCTTGGCTTGCCTACTGCCTTCCTCGTCTTTCCCTCGGGGACGCCTGCTCCAGCCCACCCGTTGTAAGGGAAGGCTCTCATTTTGGGGAACTTCCCACAGATCTCCCACAACCAGAGTACGCCAGGTTTTTGACTCAGAACATAAGAAAGCCTGTTAAAACAGAACAAACACAGAGCACAACGACGCGCATGCCGCTGCTGGACCAGGCAAGAATGACGATCAGCAGACCAGCAAGGACAGTAAAACTCCTGGGGCTGTTTAGGAGCAAGGAGGTGGCTAGCTCGTCCCTCCTGGACCCCTGGACGATAAGCATGGGAGTTGCTCCTCATGAGTGCCTAAGAACTGGAGCTCTGTCCCCTCCTGCCTCCTGGCTTCTCCTAGGGGAGGTGGCTGTTCCCAGTGTGCCCAACCCCAGGAGGGGCTCTGCATGAGAAAGCAAGCCTTTTTTCACAGCTCCTGGGGTTTGACTTTCACAGCAAAGGAAAACCCCGTGTGTGTATATTTGGATAAACCTTGTGAAATCGTTTGGCCGTGGATCCTTGCGAAATGAGCGGGGAGCCTGGGCCAGTTCCTAGAGGACAAGCTTTCACACCACAGCTGGCTGTGAGCAGCTCCCTGGTGGGAAGAGGCAGCCAGAGCCAAGGGCGCAGCTAGCCACACCGCTCTCTTCTTGGAGGCTGACCTGCCCCGGAGAGGACAGAGAGGGGGGTGTAAGCTGCTGGTGGAGGAGCTCTGCCTGCCTCCAGGCCAGAGACTACAGAGGTGGCTCCATCAGCTCAGAGGATGTCCCCTCCCCTAACCACAGAGAGCTCACAACTCCTCGTCTAAGGCCAAGTGGGACATCCTGGCTTCTCCTGCCAACGATGGACCACCAAACAACTCCAGACTGGGACTCCTCCTCCCCTGAAATGGATTGTCTGCCCGTGCCTGTTTATCTTCCCTAGCTGCAGGGGAGCTTGGACAAGAAGCTGCTAGATGTTTGCAGTCGGACAAGATGAAACACATCCTTGAGCTCCAAATTAATTACAACAAACCCATCGTGGTGGTCCTGGCAGCAGGCTGCCCCGCAGCACCCTGCACAGCACCTGCCTTCCCAGCTGAGCTAGGACTAGCAGCACTGCCCCAGGGTACATCCCACCACCACCCACATGAGTGCCACCAGCCCTCAACCTTCTGCTCTGGGGACTCCCCAGGGCTGGACCAAGCCGGTGGCTCTTTGGGGAAGATTTCTGCTGCCCTATGCAAGTAACAAACTGGAAAACTCAGCAGAGTCTGCTGCCAGCTGCTAGACCAACAAAAGTTAGCATCCGGTGAAAGTCATGAGTACTTAGAGCACTGTCACATTTGGAAAACAGGTACATATTACTAAAGAGATAAAATACTAAATAGTACAGAAGTGTCAGCATTTAAAACAACAAAACCCATCCTGCCGTCAGCCATCTGTGTAACACACCCTCATGCTGACGCATCAGCAGCTTTTGGCCCATGGAAGCCAAAACAGCTTTTTGTGTGGGTCCTTGGGAGCCCCTTTCTGCAACAGGAAAAAGACCTGGCAGCTGCTGTGCGGAGCAGAGCTGTCCCTCAGGGACACTTAGTGCTGGACAAAGGGCAGGGAGCAGCCCTGTCCCTCCTGGGCTTCCAGCACAAGCAGCCACGGTGGACCCCAGGCAGCACGGGATGAATCGAGTGAATCATCGCCTGCAGCTGCTCAAATCAATCCCTTAAGCTGCACTTGATTTTTACATCAAACATGGAGATATAAAAGTATAGGAGATATATAAAAATATGGGAGATGTTCTAGGAAAAAAGCTTTTTAGAAAAATCTCTGAAAGAAAAGGCTCCAGCGGACCTCCCTCTCCCAGAAGGGTCCCAAATTCAAGCTGCTCTCCTACCTTCAGGTCGCTGCTCTCCGCCTCCCGCAGCTTCTTCAGCCTGAAGTCCCCCTCGCAAGGATTGAGCGCCGAGGGGGGGGCCACACACGCACACTTGCAGCTGGGTCCTGACGTGATGGTTTCCACTGTGTAGAAATCCTCCGCTTTGAAAGCGCCTTCATTAATCCTTTGGCAGGCACCGCGGCCCAGGGGTCTGACCAGGCATTTGCACCGACAGTCGGAGCCTTCGGACACCGCCTTCACCTTGTCGTAGTCACCTAACAGCTGAGCACAGGTCACCGGCAGTTAGCAATCTTCTTGTCCTCTGCTTGCCCAGCAAAGGAGAAGGACACTCTGGACCTTGAGGTCCAAACGAGGACACTTTGGACACCCTGAACCTCGAGGAAAGCAGCCAGCTCTTTTATGACCAAGGAGCTGTCTAGAGAGCACAGAGCTTTCTGATCCCTACCTACAAGGGGAATGAAAACCGGCTTCTTCCAAGAGGGTATTTTTTGTTACACTTTGTGTAAAACGACCTAACTGCTTTGAATTTTAAATATGAGAATTTGAAATATGAGAACTTTAAATATGAACGCCATCCTGCTGTATTTTAACACTCCATGTCCAACAGACCCACCTGCTACCCTGAGCCAGATTTTTTTCACACTGGCAAACAGGGTAAGGGTGCGCTGGAAGGGTGACTGAAAGCCACCCTATAAGCAGCATAACCTGGTGGTGAAATAGTATTTCTGATTAGCCCCATACAATGCCAGGAATTTCCTTTACGGAGATTTGCAGACAGCACTTCTGAAAGCCCAAGCACAAAAATAACTTTGACGGTATGTTTCCAATAGTCTCCACGTTAGCCATTTCCGAGGGCAGATAATAGCACACAGTCTGATCGGCCAAATCTAACAGAAACCTCCACCGCATCCCACTGGCGGGGAAAGAGCCTGGATCCCTCCCCTCTGCACACAAAGGGGCTCCACCAATTGCCCTCCCAAGGAACTCCCCATTTTCCGA